CCCCCCTCCACAGCGACCCTTTCACCTATTGGCACCAAACGGCCAGAAAGGCGCGACCTCCAAACCACTCCTAATGCTTTACAACATCAGTGTACGTGAAAACTGTCCTGGATGCAAGTTAAAAAAAATAATCGTTTTTACCTTACTGGTAGCAGGATTTATCATACTTTTGTTTCAAGACTTAATCATGTACCCTTATTTTAAGTGTTAAATTGACTGATTGATAAAGCTTTGATTAGCAATAATCTAGGTACTATAAAATCAACATACAGTTGTCCCAGCCAAAGGTCTGCCTCTTCCTCTCCTCCTCTCACCTGTAAACTCCTATGCTGCCCAGACTTTAAAAAGCAGACCTTCGGCTGGGACGACAATAAATTTCTTGTGTCTATTCGGCTAGTCGTAGTATGCTAAAAAAAAATATCAGCGGCTTTAACATGTTTTAACCGACTACATTAAATGAGAGTTAATAGGAAAAGCATTGGTATCGGTACAATAAACTTGCATCGACAAATATTCAAAGTATTTCCTGTCAGGGTGTTATAGTAAAATTCTCCCAGTACCACATTAACATTTGGGTGGAAGCAGAAGTAACAACTGTATACTATGACACCACTGAACTACTTTCAAATATTGTCGAACTGATACTGATACAGCTAGTACGTCCAAGTACTATGTAAACATCTGAGTGGAGTGATCGAAAGATAACAATTAACAAACAGTTTTCACCTTGCAAGTAACAACTGTTCTTAAGGATTCATCCTTGGACGAAAGACTTAAGTATAGTTTCCGTAAGCAATATTTAGAAATACTATTTTCAAAACTTTTAATAAACTAGTACATTACCTTGACAATTTTAAAAATCATGGTTGTTATTGATGTTGTTTGTGTTGTTATTTAGGTTATGTCACCAACCCAAATAAATTATCCAGAGCCAATCCAGAGCACAAAATCGAAATTGACTGTCATGTGAAAAATCCATGAAGCCATAAGACAATCTCGCGTTGACTGAATTTAACATGACACAAAACAATATAACCAAAACAAACATTCCCAACTTCACTTTAGATTTCACACCACACACATGG